CCCCCGACCCCCCGGCGCTTCCCTTCGACACTGGGACTGCGCAAATGAGTAGCAGTGGCGGCAGCAGCAGCAGCAGCAGCAGCCGGACCTGTCGAAGGGCGAGGACGCCGACGACAGGGGAGCGCCGCCTCCCAACGGGGCCCAGCCCCCTCCTTACCGCCCAAACAGAGCAGTCAGCCCCGGCGCAGGAATTTCCTCTACGAAGCATGGGGCCGGAGGGCGTCCGGAGCTAGGGGAGGGTGAAGTAATTCTACCCCCTACCCCTCCTGCTCGCTCCCGCCGCGCGTCTGGTCTCCGGTGGGGTGTAGGAGGCGCGGGGTTAGAGAGGGTTGTTGGTCTGTCTGCTGGTTTGGCAAAATGCAGGACGCCATTCCCTCTGGCAGAGCCGCCTGCCCGCCCATCCCTTCGGGGCGTGGCGGGGCGTGGCGGGGCGTGGCGGGGCGTGGCGGGGCGTGCCGTTATTACTGCGTGGCGCTGGCTGCACGTTATGAGGAGCCCCCCTTTTCATGGCCTTTCGCCCGCCTCAGCACGCCTCCCCCCTCCCCTCCCCCTAGACCCACCACAAGCAAAGACTACACTACCCCACTCTCAAATCCGACATCCGAAACGCAGCAGAAACAAACTAAAAACAAAAATAATAAAAATAAGGCAATAGTACGTTTGGCAGCTTACCCTGAATTCGCACTTGTCGGGGTGCTCGGAGCGGAACACCTGGTGCTCCTGCGTCGTGTACCAGCCCAGGAAGATGGGCACGAACGAGATGATGGCGGGCGACAGCCACGTGTTGAGCAGCATGACGCCCACGACGCGCTTGGTCATGCTGCGCGGGTACTTGAGCGGCATCACGATGGCGTAGTACCGGTCCACCGAGATGCAGCACAGGTGCAGGATGGACGCCGTGCTGAAGTACACGTCCAGCGAGTTCCACACGTCACACACGAAGGGGCCGAAGAGCCAGCGGCCCGTGACCTGCAACAACAGCAAACGCAGGTCACAGTCAGTGAGCATTCACTGCACCAAGAAAGACTTTTTGAGTCTAAATAATTGTCCATGATTCTAAAAGCATAATTCACACACAACATGTTTTCGTAACAAATCAAAAAAAGATTAATGCACCATTATGTGCGAAAAAATGCTCAGCGTAACTCTTTACGCAGTCCATTTCTTTCCTTGTGTGTATTTTCTCGTTTCGTGTCGTGCACCCTTAACAAAGCGGGCCGGGGCGCCACACCCCCAGCGCCCCCCGCCTATCAAACTGATCGGCAGAGGAATGAGGGGCGCGTGCGGAGCGGCAGGTCCCGGGACCAGGTCCCGCCCACCTCGCGAGGCTCACGGCCAGGCTGCCGCCAGGCTCAGCTGATGCGCCGCTCCGGAGGCAGCCCGACCGGCCGGCCGGCCAGGGGTCGGCCAGGGGGACATTAAGGAGGAAACCTTGGAAGTTCGTCTTCGCGGAGGTCCGCGCCCGGCCCGCCACCGCTGCCTGCCTGGCACTTCCACGTCCCCCAGGCCTCGCAACGCCGGGCAGGCGGGGCAGAGCCGGGACCCGGGCCAACCCGATTCGCTCAAACGGTCCGACTACGTGCCTTGAACGAGAAGGGGGCCGTGGGCGTGGCCTGCGGGGCCTGCTGCCGCACGACGTGGACCGCAGCCCCCGGCGCAGCCCCGGCGCAGCCCGCAGGACCACGAGGGTCGCGTAATGTCTTCATGGTCCCCGCGGGACCCAAACACCACGCCCGGCAACACACGTGCGCGGCCAGAGAGACGATTTAAAACGGACAGCGGGGGAGGTTCCAATAACACAAACATGCGTCGGGGGAGCCGCGCGTGGGAGGGAGGGCGCAAGGGAGAGACCTGTGTGTGGGCTGCAGGTCGCGCTCGACGAACGGGTTCAAGGAAAACGCGCGGGAAACCGTAGGCGCCGGTCAAACCTCTCTTGAGCACGACGGATAGGATAGCCCACCCAACACCCGTCTCAGAGAGCACCTCTATCTGCCTTTTGCCCGGCCGAACCATCCCCTTTTCACCTGAGATCAGGAGCCCGAGCAGGTGGGCCCTGCCTTCTGCTTATCCTGGACCCGACGAAACTCGTTTGATTTGACAGAATGTGGGATAAAGGTGGGGAAAAGGGGAGAGGAGTGACTGCTAGAGTGTGTCCAGACGCAGAGAAGTGCCACCGACGAGGGTAGACGAGGGAGAGAAGGATAAAAGGTGGAAAGAGTAAGAGAGAGAGGAAAGTGAGTCGGAGATAGACATTGTGATGCGAGAGGGAGAGAGAGAGAGAGAGAGAGAGAGAGAGAAGGAGAGAGCGCCTGCGGACGGGGGATAGGCAACGCGGAGTCACCCATGTCCCTGCGTTGCCTACCTCCTGGGCGCTCCAGCCACAGAGAGGACCCTATCAAGGCGCATCATACCACTTAAACGGGCTTATCGTTTGCAGTAGACAATAAATACCTTTTGCGCTATTCGTCACTATTAGTCAGCCACCCTTGCAACAGTCGACCAAGGAAAGCTCACACTTGTAACATTCATTGATGGTGTTTCTTTTGTCGCTGCATCCAATAAGAGCGCCTGGGACGTAGGCAACGCAAAGCCATCCGTGCGGTAGCGTTGCCTACCCCCCAGGCGCTCCCGGACCGCCCAGCAACCGCCGCACTTCCCGGCCACTAGGGCCATTGCGCTTTCAGAAGAAAAGATATCAACGGACACTAAGGGAGATTAGCGTTCTGTGCACGCCCGCGCGAAGGCCGGCCAACACTACACTCCGAGCACATGTCCCGGGCAATTGCCCGCCCTTATCGCCCCTCGCCAAACGTCGTCATCGTCATGTGATTCTTGCCCGCCCAGCCCCAGCGCAGGGCACCCTCCCTCCCACTCGCCCGGTCAGACTGCCCCCGGCGGCCTTAAGCACCCACCCGGGACACCGAGCCCTTTCCCCCCACCCCACCCTGTCCGAGGCCCTGGCCCTGTCCGCCCGTGCGGGGGCGGTCGGTGAAACTGGGGCCAGTGCCAAAGGGACCGGCTTCGTTTCCTAGAAGGGGAAGGCCCGGGCCGGGCCCGGGCAGGCGAGACGAAGCGAAAGCTCGAACATTTTCCAGAGGCTTCGTGGAGTGCAATAAGAGTAAATTTGCGGAAAACCGACAACAATGCAAGAACGCGGCGAAGCAGTTGGAATGAGAGAAAGGGGAGTACAGAAGGGAAGGGAGGCCGGGG